AAATTTATACATTACGCTTTGCTTAAATTTTACAAAAATTATTTTTTTCAACGCATAATCGAAAATTGATTTAGTGCGAAAAGTGTAGCAAGAGCTGAGCGTGTAAAAATAACATATGATTCGAGAATTACATCGTCGATTCGCGGAAATTTACGTGCGTTTACTTCGTTCGTAGATGCTGTTAAACGGGACGTTAGATAGTGGCGAAATAATCAACACGTCAGCGAGTCGGCAATTTAATGCAGGTTTAATACCGCGTGCGCACCGTCGGCAGATGCTTCCAAGGACTACGTAATCGCTAGATAATCGTTATTATTTCGCAATAGATATACGTGCACGCGATTATCTGTGCGGCACACCTCGTTGTCGCATCGGTGAAACCTTCGGATGAGCGTACGCGCATTTTTACAAGCGTACGTTCAACTATATTTGAACCTAATCACGAGCCTCTTGAACTCTTTCCGTAACTTGAAGCGGCCTGAATGATACTTTATCTAGTTTCCGTTTTTAGACACGTCGGCTTTCTACGAACCAGCAGGCAATGAATGTGTTGCTGTAATAGGCTTAGATAGATTAGAAAAAATCGATATAAAGTTATCTTCAAAAAAAAAAAAAAAATAAGTTTTGCTTGCAAGTTAACACCGTTGCAGTCGTAGAAGATATTGATCGAAAGTAAAAAGTAGGTGGTACTAAATAGAATGCCACAATAATGCTAAAATTTTAGGTCGTGAGAATGAAAATTCTTTTATTTCGTTAATAAATACAAAGATTAAAAATAATTTAGCAAACATTTTATAGAATTGTTTTTATTAAATTTTATAAATTTTTTTTATAATTTATAATTACAGATATGTGAAAAGTGTTGAAAGTAAATGAACAATATTATAAAGTATAAACGGATCATTAATATTAATTTGAATCTTTTAAAAGAACATTAAATGGTTAATCCTCCTTTGGAATTATTCCAAATTATTTGTAATTACACAAGCATTACGGCTCAATAACTGGCATAACTTTGTTCATATGAAATTTATCATAAAATTTGCAAAGTTCACGATAATGTTTGCACTTACGTGTGTTCACGTTATTTCCTTCAGTGACGATTCTCTATCGGCACGTTAAATCGGTCACTCTCAAATCCGAAATCCGAGGATCTATCATGTGTCCAACACTGTGTTGTCTCTGCATCAGCCTTTCGCACATTTACACAATATTATATAATCCCTCTTTTCTTTTGGAATTCCTTGACTCGAGCATCAGTTTTGGAAGGCCAGGTGTGGAGTTCTATGGACAACATTCCGTCGAGAGCGGTGAGAATGCCGTCACGAAGATCGTCGCCCTGCCCAATGAGGTAAGATGATTGATGCTCAGTTGTCTCACAGTAGATAAAGAGACTGATTTTTAAAATCAATTCTGTGTCCTACAGCTGTATCACGAATAACCGCTTTCTTTTTTTTTATTTTTTTTTTATTTTTTTTTTTATTTATATCGAGAATATATAGATAATTCGGTGCTATTAGTCTGAAAAATGCGAATGCGTCATCAGACTCAATTTTCAATATGCGTTCTCTTGTTACCATTTGTTACGATTATATTTACATAATATATCGCATCTCGCGATTTACGTAGAAAGGTGTCTAACTCGTGGTTTCCGCAAAAATCGTGCGCATCGACAGTAATGCGACACCGTGTTCCGCTTATATGGTCGCCAGCGAGTTGTATAATCCAACACGACACTGTACAATGTGCTCACGCACGCGTGTACTGATAAATAATACACGGGTGCAACGACATCACGTCGGTGCGTCGCAATTAATGCGGAATGCAATTAAAGTGACGTGAAACGTGGGAAAAAGACTTTCTTCGCGCCTCGGGATACCCAATTAACCGTTTACCAGTAGACGCGCGTGATAAACGTTCAATCAATGATGATAGCCTTAATAGAATTATCTCAATCAAGTATTCGCTTCTAATCAAGTATTTCTTGAAGATTTCATTTAAGAGCCTTGTTATAAGAGATAATTACATTAAAATAATCATATATATATATATATATATATATATATATTTATATTTTATTGAATCTACAAGTTTTCAAAATTTATCCAAGTTTTATATAAATTACCTGTATATTAGTAGTAATAATAGTAAATAGTAGTATTAGTAGTAGTAGTAATAGTAGTAGTAGTAGTGGTGGTGGTGGTGGTAGTGGTAATAGTAATAGTAGTAGTAGTAGAAGTAATAATAGTAGTAAGTAGTAATTCCTGTATATTATTTTTCATAATATTTTCTGAATCGGGTGTGATTCTCTCAATTGAATCGCTTTTTCGTTCTTACGATTGCACAACAGCCTAAGCACGAACGTTCGTTATCACGATAAGCAGTTCCAAGTTAATCTTGAGACCGATTAGATAAGAGCTAGCCTATGATAAAAATCTAATATTACTTTTTATCCGAGTTTAAATTCGACTTTCTGTTTATTTTCGGCAGATTTTTCACAATTGACTTTGAACTGTTTTTGTATGCAGTAATAAAATATTTTTAAATTCAACAGGAAGTGTGACAGTGTTTGAAAAAATGATTCAAGTTCACGAAAATTTGTTTTAAAAATAAACTGTTTAATTGCAATGTCATAAAACCAACAAAATTGAAAAATATACATAATATAATGTTTGACAATGTTAGGACCGATCAATATGCAAGAAATCTGAAAGATGATATTTTTTTATATATTGGAATTTAATTATGATATATCTCTTTTAATCGAAATTTCGACATTTAATTCATGAAATATTTATCAAAAGAATAACTCAAATCTATGATTCATGAAAACTCACCAGTGGTGAGTTAATATTCTAAATATAAGATATTGCTGTAGATTTTGGATAAACAAGTTTAAAAACTGCAAATGCGAATAAACTTGCTTGATTTTGTGTTTATTGTAAATTTTTATTTTGCGTATGGCGAGTGACAGCTGCAAAATAAGAAAGATACAAGACTTGAGAAGTCGAGAAATTATGCGAGCATTTTCTCCATGTAATAATAGTGATAGAAGAGCCGCCGTTGATCTTGTTGTGAGGTATTTTATTACTTCCGCTGTATCCATCAGAAGCACACGCTGACTTTCTACGATAAAACCCGTTGTTAGAACTTCCTGTTGGATGAAATATTAAATAGAAACATATAGAAAAAGAAAGTAGTAATATACGAAAAAGTCGAAACATTTTTAAAATGTTAAAAAAATGTATAAAAAAATGTTTCTCAAAGTTTGATAAAAACTTTTTCTTTGATAATACTTTATATAAGATATAAAAATTATATATTAAGTAATACAAGCATATGTAATGTGCAACATATTATTTTATTTTATAATTAGTTTTATTTTATAATTAGACAGTCATTTTATAATTAGTTCGATGTGTTGTAATTTTCAGGGTCGCGTGGTATCCCTGTGTGACGATAATTCGTTACATTTGTGGGAGATTAATGAAAATTCTGTAGTGGAAACTAAGACATTGTCGTTAGAAGGAAAATTGAAGAAGATCTCTGCGATGTGTCTCGAATCTAGTGGGGAACATCTTTTGCTAGGAACTGAAGGAGGCAATATCTATCTGCTGAACTTGAAGACTTTTGTCACACCGGAGAATATCATTTATCAAGATGTTGTAATGCAAAAGTAAATAATTAGATGTCTCATATATATATATATATATATATATATATATTGTTTATTTGTA